GACTTGATCGAGGCACTCTTTTTTTTCCTTAAGTTGGTACTGTATCATTGTTGTGCCATAAACATGACAGTTCAGAAATCCACTGGTCTTATTTTCATCTCGGTTCTCTTTAGAGAGTAACGAGATCCCATCCAGTGAAACCAGTTCACTCCATCAGCATAGGAGGGGTGATGGCCACGAAGATATAAACCATTGAGATTTGAGTAGTGACAACTGTCGTACCACCAGGCTCCTTTGAACGTAATGGCGCAGTTGTGACCTCCCCGATTGTCATTATCTTGATCTTTAGTGGTGAACGGCATACCGCGATGCGGAGCAAGAGAGCCACCAGAATTTCCTGTCAAAACGAGCCGCACTATGAGTATTACGTTTGACCAACAATGAGAAGTTCGTAATTCAAAAGATATCTTAAAATATCAGTAAATATATATCATTAAGTATAATTAACGATAATGATATGGAGTAAAAGTACCCTTAGCAATATCTATGATTCATGTCGAAGATTATAGAGATTGAATCACTAAATGTAATAATGCCAATAAATATGTTTACCGAGGCATTCATCAGAGTTAGATGGGTTCGTCAGGTTAACTGCGCATGATCCACCGACTGAAGATTTTGAGCGGCTTTTCGCAGTGTTGAAAAGGGTCATTTCACTCACGCTGAATGTTAAGGCCAGAAAATTTTGTTTTTCTAGGAAAGCAGTTTCTAGGCTCCGTCTCCATCGTGGACTGCATTACCTCTCGTCTTTACTGTGTTACCTGAAAACCTCATTTCTCTCAGGCAACCAGGATGAAGAAATGATACAGCAAAACGAAACGAAACGTGCGAAACCACCGAAATGACCAAAGCAAAACGACCGAAACAAAACGAACCTAACGATCGAAATGACGAAACGACCGATATGACCCAAATATTTACATAAAATAACACGGGACGGATCTAGGGGAGGCCACATAAAGAACAGTAGTCTATGGTCAGAGGTGAAGACAACCTTTGAATCGTATGTCCTCGATGTGAGAATAACCTAATTCTGTTCTCCAAATGGGTGGGAAGTTCTTCCCAATGCTATCGCCTTGGGTAAGATTTCTCGTCGTTCTAATCATATATTCCATGTAGAATATTTTGTGCTTCTCAGAACGAGTTTTATTGCGTGGGTAGCCCGCCAGTTCGAACGACATCTCAACCTTCCCTGTCCTTAAAGTGTTCTGACTTCCAATTCTCTGTTACGACTC